CAAGCGAGGACACAATATACGTTCAACAATACCTTAAATAAAGAATTATGTTGTAGTAAAACAAAGAATACGAAACTCGCAGCCTGACTGACTGAAAATATCAACAAACTCCCTAAAAATAATCGGCCATTAATTATCTTAATTGTACAGCGTTGAATGTTTCTATAAAAATGGAGAAATTTGAGCCTACAATTCTAGTTATCGAATATTGATGCTATAATACGTCTCTCAGTGTTACAGTCTTATGGTTAATAAAACCAAAATTTTGTTTATTCTCAATTTCAGAAACTTTGTCTGACGTCGTTTCTATTATCTTTATTGTATTTGTATATTTTATCCAATACAAAATTTTAGAATTTGTAAAATAAGCTAAATTCCAGTCTTTAAATACAAGAAACTGATATTAAATAATGAAGTATTCGTAATAAACGAACTGCCACTGCTCTCTGATATTTCGGACTACAGTTACAGTTCAGACGGTGAACTGAGCAACAGCCCGTAAGCTTACAGAGAAGTGCATTTCATTCATTATGAAAATCGGTATAGAAACATGAAAGAATCTAAAAAATATGAAGGTCAAAGGGCCGGATGTGGCTTAGTGGTTAACCTGTTGGACTGTGATTCCGAGTGTTCATGGTTCGAGTCCCAATGCCTCAGATACATGCTATGTACTCTGGGGCAATGAGTGTGTTATAAGAGCGACGGTGAAATCCAATTATTCCGTTATAGTAGCTTAAGAGTTGGCAGTGTGTGTTGTTGACTAGCTGTTCTCCCTCTAGTCTACCAGTCCAGAATTATGGACTGCAGGCGCAGATGGCTTGTGTAGGTTTGCTCGAATATCCGAAACAAACAAAGAAATCAAAGTCAGCAGTGAAGTAGCTTGAATCTTTATTTCATTATGATGTGAGTAGAGCATTTGATAAATATAACATATACATGAAAATACTGAAAAGTTTTAAATATTTAAAAGAAAATATGAATATAAAAAGGTTTTTAGCTCCGTTAAAGTTTAATAATAAAATTAACTATTTAATAATTTCTTATTGAAACAAATCGCCAACATTTTATTTGACAACAAAGTTAAATGACATACTATGTAACTTATTCTTCGTCAAATTTAAACAAAATGCAAAAAAGGATTAAAGGAATATTTTAAAATTAAACCTTTTTTAAAGTGTTTTGTATACATACATAATAAGAGCTTATATAAGCATTAACAAGCAATCTCTGACTCAACGGCAGCAGAAATGATATAGTACTTTGTACAAACCGTATCGTGCATTTATCTTTATTAATTTTTCTGAAAATCTACTGGATTATTCATTATTTTATGAGGAATCCAGAAGTGCACGCCGATCTATAATCGGATTAACCCAAAGAAGTTGTGATTGGTTTATGTCAGTAGAGTGGGTAGTTTTTCAGACAGTGGTGATGACATTATTGTAGTACATTATGTACCGAACACTCACCATTCCCGAACTTTAGTGAAACTATTGAAACAACGAGCCACAATCTCTGAATGTTTGTTCTTGTTGAGATGAAAACGAGGTTAGATTCAAAGTTAACCTGCAATTGAAAAGTAGCAAAATGTCCGATGTGGTAAAAGTGTAGCAGGTCGTGGATACTACCACGGTTCACACTAGTAGCTTGATATGTTAGTCATAAGAGAAGTCAAAGAAACTTCAGCCGAGGAGGAGCTAGTTGTCAAGCGCCGAAAGAGAAATACCTCTGCGTATAGAGACGGTAAACTTGTAGTTATATCCGATAGCTTGTCCTCAAATTGGAGGGAGGAAGAAGTCAAAACTGCACCTGACCCTCCCAGGCATACACAAGACCTAAATTCCGATGACTGATCGGTTGTGATTGCCTCAAATGGGGATGAAAGTAAAAGGAAGAGAACGTTTCAAGATCAGGCAAGGAATGGAGAATGGGAAGACCTTATCGGAGTAAAGTGCAATGCTACAAGGATAAGAGGAGAGAATAATAATGGCGAAACAGCAGACCATAGCGTGCGGGTGGTCTAATTTGGCAGAATATAAACACCTTAACAACTTTGATGAAAAACAAAACAAAAAATCAGAGCAAAATGATCCTTGGATCGTGCCCCACAACCACTTACCTCACTCTCAGGCTTCCGGATATGATATAACATTCCAACATCTACCAAAATATTATCTCTTGGTTTGACTGTTGTTAAATACAAAGCTACACAATAGGCTATATGTGCTCTGCCCACCACAAGTATCGAAACAGGAATTTTAGCATCGTAAGTCTCCAGATTTATCACTGAACCAATGGAGGCCCAAATTAATCCTATTTTCTGCTTTTTAGTCAGAGATTACTTGTTAATAATTAATGTGCATTTCAGTAGATAAATGTTAAACTTTGAATTGCAGAATCATCTATTGTTAGGAACATTAACAAGATATGCTTCACGTAAAAAAATGAGAAAATAAGGTGAAATTTAGTGAAGATAGGAACATTATTTTAACACTGCAGCCAAACAAACCTTATCAAGGCGTAGTAATGAATATTAAGTTTAATGAACTTTATCTACAGTTATCTATTGTTTTTATAACCTGATCTTATCTTTATCAATTTGAAAAACTTAATGCTTATGAGAATAGATAACATTCAAATTCCTAACTTGGGATTACTTTTAAAATTCTGACTGCATTAATTGAGTGTTTTTTTTTCGTATCTCGGTTATCTAGTTAGGATAAATAAAATCTTGAGTCACAATACATTAATTGTTACATAATGTCGTAATAAGTGTGTTTTCTAAGCACTGTATGATTTCCATTGTATATATTAAAATATAAATTCTCATATACACAAAAAAATTAAATCATTAAGTTTTATCGATTTAAATATAAATGATAAAAACAGCACAGAAATAAATATAAGTAATTATAATCCATTCTGAATATTTGTACACGTGTAAGTAGTTAAAATGTAAGGCAAAGTATATACAATAACTTGTAAATATAATAAGGTTAAGTAGTGTTTCAAATTGTTACAGAAATTTTCATTTATGCAACAATTCAGTAAAATCAAATTAACTGTTTTTATGATATTTCAACGCTTTTTTAATTTTTGTAAAACTTTTTTTCTGGTTTTTGAACAGTGTTATTAAGTAGAATCACCCAACAAAGTATTTTGGATAATACGACTTAAATTCTAAGAAACTTTCACTTGATTTTATAATTATACATGCATTTTTATTTTTGTTTTCTAATACCTTTAACACATTAAAAAACATATATATTTGAATAAATGTCAACAGATAGTAATTTTAGAATTTAAAAAAAAACAAGAAAAAGTTACATGCAGGGAGGGTAATGTCAGGATACACGTTTTTCTCTATGTTTATTTAAACGAATTTACAAAGATATCACTTAAACTTTGCTAATTTTTTTTTTCAGAAAGCATCGCTACCTAAAAATATCCTTCTATGAAAGATTGACTTAAGATTCTCGTCTCTCGTCACATGTGGAGTTATTTTATACGATACACTCAAATGATCATGGCCAGCCTTCGGTAATACTCAATAAGGAACACAAACAAACAAAACAATATATTAATGTGTGCTGTGATAATCAAAAGTATAAAAAACGTGTATATGCATATATAAAGATCACATCAATTAGAATTATGGAAATAAGAAAATCTGATAAACTTGTGCTATCACAATGTCTTCACTATCTTCACTGACAACTGGGTTTACTGCATTTAAACAGATAGATCAGTTTACTGCTTCAGCTGAATGTACCTTTGAGAGATATTACCATTTCTTTGGACCTCCCCCTGAAAAGCGAATAAGATACCGAGAACGCTTTTTTCTTTAGTCTGTACAATTATTTGTACAACCGAGTTGGATTAAGTCAGAAAATGCAGCCGTCTGTTTACGAAAGTAAGGTTTTTGGAATACTAAAAGCTGAAACAATGCATCTTTAAAAATAATTATAGCTATATTCTAAAAAAAAGATTGTTTTAAATAACCAATCAATGTGTTAATATGTGAAGAAGATTATTTAAAATAACCATTCAATGTGTTAATATGTGAAGAAGATTATTTAAAATAACCATTCAATGTGTTAATATTTAAAATAACCAATCAATGTGTTAATATTTAAAATAACCAATCAATGTGTTAATATTTAAAATAACCAATCAATGTGTTAATATTTAAATAACCCACATTAGTTGTTTCGATATTACCAATTTTCAAGTTTAAATTATTAGTGTTAAGTTCAACATTATCAGCAACATTGGAAAAAGCTAAAACCAATAACAATAAACTGATTGATCTTTTACAACCAGTCTATTTTAAAACTATACTTGAAGACACTGCAGAAAAATGTTTTTCTACTGCCGATAATCTATCAGAAAACAACGGTATCTTTCTGTAGAAGAGAGATTGATATTTATAACTTTCTATTAAATGTATTGTAAAATATATTCACTTTTTTAAGAATACTTTCAGAAAACTGATTCAAACTATTCTGGAAATAAAAGACGTAAATCTAACAGAAGTTACAGATTCTATCTTAGCTGAACTGACCATTACTGTAGTCAGTATTGTTTACCAATAATATGTTTGTAATTAGAAAACTAAGAAACTGTAAATTTATTCGAAGTACAATCTTACTTATAAATTTTACCAATGTATATATATATATATGTGTGTGTGTGTGTGTATGTATTGAGAACTTAATTAAGTTAAGTAAAATTTGTTCTAAGATTTTAGTACAAAACATAAATATAAAATATAAAATTATAAGTAATAATGGTAAAATTGATATATTCCATTCTTTATTTAATGTTAGTTTTATTAACAATACTGATTAAAGTACTTAATATATGTACATATAAAATATGCTTACTTTTTTCACTTTGCATTTATTCATTACATATATGTTTATTATGTGGATTGTCTTACACTGCTAGCCTTAGTACATGGATTAAGAACCAACCTAAATGTCTTATGTCGGCTGAAGCTCATTAGGCATTATGGGGATTACAATCGAACATACCGAAACAGAGAAGGCACTCAACTGATGATATTAATACTCCAACTCCGAACGGTATAATAAATTAGCTGTACTAATCCTATCTTAATTATCCACGTTGATAGCTCGCTTTGATCAGAAGATATCGATAATTCCTACCTCCCAAATCTTTAAAGTCATCCAACAGACGTTACTCAACCATGTTTTATAAACATCCGTTTTAGCCTACAGAAGTACATGTATGACTTTAAACTATCATTTTCAACAAGCTTCAAACGGACTGTTTTCTTTTCTTGTTTTTAATTAGAACAATCAGCAATAAACCTTAAGCATGTTTCTTTCAGATTTCTCTATAAAAAATGTATTTAATGCTAGAGACCTCTTGAACACTCGTATTACTGATAATGAATTGATTAATTGGAGACAAGTGAAACGTCCATGTGTGAGTAAAAACATATTTCTTGATAAATATGCTTGATATAAGTGCTAATAATTATATTTGTAATGGATATAACAAGTTTATATATATTTTCATTGCCATAAGGGGCTCAGTAGTAAGTCTGAGGACTTATAATGCGAAAAACCGGTTTTAGATACCCGCAGTGGGTAGGGCACAGATAGTCCATTGTGTAGCTTTGTTTGTGCTTACCAACAAACAAGAAAACATATTTATTATGATTATAGACCAGATTTTTCACATGAAAGATGCAGGAGCTAAACATTATGATGTGGACTGAGATGTTAGAAAAGTAAAGTATTTTATGAGTTTAATAAATCAATAGTTGATATCAGTGTTAATACAAGATTCACTTCTTTCATTAGGCTTAACAAGTACGTTTGATTGTAAATGTTTTTTGCCTCATTTCTCTTAATTATTCCATCACAGATTTAAAACCAGGGTATGCACAAAATATCAGTCCAGGTTTACTTTTTGTTGACTACAGAATCAAAAATTTACTATTTTAAAAGGTATACCATGAGAAATGCCTGCAACCAAACATGATTCTTTTCACACTTAAAATATATCGTTTAATTTTTATGCAAGCTTCCTTTTCGTTTCACGTGTTCTGTAACTCGTAATCAAAGGGCATGATTTATTGTCCATGAGTTACAGAGAGCTAAAGTAAATAATAATCTTATGTACTGTAAATAACAAGACAAAAATATTAAATACAACCAACCGTTATGTTTCAATAACATAATTGGTAACAAGTTGTCAACCGTTTTATGGCATAAAATTAGGGGCATTTTTCTCACCGTCGTTGAAAACTAATAGAATGAAATGAAATATTGCTTTCTCGGAATGAATAAATATCTCATTAGTTAATGGAAACAAATTCTAGCCTAAGTTATGACAAAATGTTGGACTAAAAACTATAACGATGGAAAGAAAAACATTGGGTTAACTGGGTGATTTAATAATTTATGTAATTAATTTGAACTGTTATTTTCAGCTTTTTCTTCCTTCTCCTTGTTATACCACTCCATATAACGAGGAACTTTTTTAACTTTCAATGGTTTATCGATTATCTGAACATCAGACTTAACTGAAGAGGCGGAGTTAACGCCATTCTCAGTGTTATATGGTAAAGAAGGGATTGATTTAGAATAATTTTCTGGATTGTCTGATGAGATATTTTCTTTCGTCTTTCGATCTTCAGGATTGACAGAATTATTTGCTTCTTCAGTAGATCCCTGAGTGTGTGTTACCGAAGAAGATGCATGGTTGGATGAAGATATTTCAGGGTTTGTTTTAGTATTGTTGTGAGATTCAACAGTTTGATATTTCGGAGAAAAAGAATTATCCTCAGGAGACTCCCTGTCTGTGACGTAGGTTTTGGTTATCACCCGGGTTTTGTATACAGTATGCGTCTGACCGTCCTGTTGATGTGATTGATCGTCACGAAAACCTTCTTCTGAAGGCTGATGATAACTACTTTGAAGCTGACCTGTGACATTCTTGTTAGTTATTCCACCATTTTCATCATCTAAACTCCCACGTTTAGTCTCAGTGTTGATGCGATCATCATCTGACTGCTTTATGCTCAGTTTCTGAGACTCAGAAGGATCTATAGCTGATACCTCGTGTTGTAAAACGTTGGATTTCTCAGGATCGTCGTTTTCTTTGATTTCTCTTATTATAATACGTTCTCGAATTATTGTTTCATTATTTTGGTTTCCAGGAATGTTTGTCTGCGATATACGCCCATCATTTCTGTCGTCCATTTCTATTGATATTGGTGCATTTTGATTCTTGTTGTAAAAATGATCATGTTGTTCTCTTCTTGAATCGCTCACGTATTCAGGATTTCTTATATCGTTGACGCTATGGTTTGGTTGCATATTTTGGAAGTGACGACTTTCTCCCTCTTTATTTTTCCCATATCGCTTTTCCCAGTATTCTTCGTAGTCTACAGTTTTGATCTTCTCTTGTTGATCTTTTTGTATATTTCGCGTTTGATTATCAGACAAAACCATATTTCCACTATAAAGAGACTGTCTAGATGAAACACTTCTTGTGTTTGGATGGACATTCCCTGTCTTGTGATAACGAGAGAAGTTAAGCTGCTGACTTCCATTATCTCGTCCAGAGGATGAATAGGAATCATGCCGAGAACGAACATTTCCATTTTGATGAAAGGAATCTGAATAATAACTTGAGTTGTGTTTAATCACAGGTCGTGTGTTTGGATATACTTCAACTTCACGGTATGCACGTTCTTCTTCAATCCGTCTAGGATAAACAGGAACACCAGAATCCTTTTTATTATCTCGAATATAGATTATCTCTTTTGTTCTGGTCATATTTTCTTCGTTGCCAGAATGCCTTTTGTTTTCAGAACCATCAGAATAGTGAGTTATCCTATGATGTGATCCTGAAGTAATTCTGTGGTTATATTCTTTGTTATTGGTATTCTCTCTTTCCACTTTCTGGTTGTCAGTGTTGTAATCCTTCCATCCTTTTTTCTGAAGAACTCCATCTCTAGATGAGATTGTTAACTGAATCATCAGTATTTGAAAAAACATGAATCTGTGATTATATTCACAAAAGAGACTAATTCAAAGTAACCTAAACATATGCAACTAGAAAATATTATTGCATTCTAATGTGAATGAAATGTAAGTTTTAAATGCAGAGACAGTGAAAAACTAGAAATGTTTGAAATATTCTGAAATAGTGTTTCCTTCCTACATAGAAGGTTATTATTAGTCAAGTCAGTATAATTCTAGGTCAAAATTTACCCTAAATGTTCGCTGCACTGAAAATAAACGATATCCAACTTAAGTTGTGGCTTGAGATGTCAGATATCATATGTGTTTTACATGAAATAAGAAAACAAGTTTCAAACTTATTTTATTGTCGTATTTTACAAATTTACTCTTCTGCATATCTTTTAACTGAACATCAATAATCTTATGTGTTTAATTCAAGGGAGCGATTTTAATTTTTTAACCACAATAAGATTTTAATATTTCGGCAAACTAAAGTACACAAAAATAATAGATACATACATATATATAAATTTTTCCCCTACTAATAAAGCTTGCATTCGTGATATCGAGCAAACAAATTTACAATTTATCACACAATCATAGTACTTTGCATATGCTAGGCGTAAATAAAACTAATAGGTTTAAACACATATTTTATTTCTCTACTGTTTTAAATCAGTTTATTACTTAGAATTTCTTCCCAGATGTGATAAGATTAAAATTTAGATAAGTAAGCAACTGTAAACTTACTCTCTTTTTTTCTCATTACTTTCATCCATAGAACCGGTTTCTTGGATTATAACTGCCCGTTCTGAGGGATGGATTCGCGAGTGGCTTTTTTCGTCTTCTGTTAAACAACTGAGAAATAACATTAAATGTATTAAATAATTTCTACGAGTTCGTAACACTAATGAAAATATCTTGATAAAACTTCGATAAACAATTTGATATTCTTGACGTCAACAACGTAAGCTTTTCGATTATTAATATTAATTATGATTACCATTTTACAGAAAAGATCAGTTTTTACATAACAATAAAGTATGGTTGATGATCAACCTTAATTGCAATGAAAATACAAAATAGTGGAGGCTATTTTACCTAATCGCTTTTCTTAACAATCAAACACAAACACATGTCTACAAAGTGTTGGAATTACCGATGTGATCAACCGATTTTTTAACATATTTGTCGAAGTAATCTATGTACTACATTATTTGTGGATTCATGGATCAATTGATTATAGGGTTCATAATAATGTATGAGTCACATAAAAAATATATAACAAAATTATATCAGTATTACAATTAATCCCTCTAATGTCTTCCGGGATACTCTTTGAATTGTCCCCCGGTGAGACAGTGGTACGTTTATGGATTTACAACCTAAACTCAGGGGTTCGATTCACCTCGGTGAATACAGCAGATAACTCGATGTGGCCTTGCTATAAGAAAAAAACACACACTCTTTGAATTTTGTATAGAAAATGAGTAATTTGAACCAACTTTTGTTTGTGGGCAGTTCTTAACATCTGGATGCTGTAAGAGGCAGAAATATTAAATTACCCTCAATGGTACAACAAGTGAACTCAACAGTAGCGAGCAATCTGTAAGCACGTTTTATAGTCAACTAAATCATCCTACAATATATTTTAAGTTAGATTAGCGAAAATGTATTTTTTTGCAAGATCAGAACAAATTTGAAAATGTAATCAAAGCATAAATAAAATAAAGTCACTAGGCTACAATACAAATATAGATAAAAACGCATTTTTTAAAGATAAAACGTCTTTGTTATTTTTCGCAAAGAAGTAAAAAAAACTATTTAGATGAAAGTTGACGAATGGATCAAAAATCTCCGAAACAGTTTTTTCTCACATACCCCAGACAAACCTAAGCTAGGACTAAAATACTGGTACAATATATCTAATGTAAGAGTATGAAGGACCTTTTTCTTTCTTTTTATATTTTTTACAGAAAGGACAACATTTCATTCGTCTTGTTAGTGAACCTTGTCTGTGTGTGTTTTTCTTATATCGGGCTATCTGCTGTGTCCACCGAGGAGAATCGAACCCCTGATTTTTAGCGTTGTAAATCCGTAGACTTACCGCTGTACCAGCGGGGGACGAACCTTGCCAGAAAACAAAGTTCGTACTTTTTTTGTGAGTGAACTCTATAAGACAACATTTTGGTTTTTATTTGCTGAGTTTTTAGGAATGCAACTCTTTATCCTTGAGAGTAAGTCTTTTTAAAATATTGACGTTACGTGTCTTCTGACAGTAAACTAAGAATGAAAAAAAATATATTTTCTTATAACAGAACCTTCGAAGAAGACGTTTAATTGTTGTTGTTTTTTTACACTCTTGGATAACGGCCCTTATTTCGACCACCTCATTAGAGATATTGTTAGATGGGCGAGATTTATGTCTTCTTTCGCCGTTTCGGCCTCCTTAGGGACATTGTTAGAAGGGTGAAGTTTGGATTTTATTTTGTGTTTCTTACAGTGAGTCGTGTTAGAAGGGTGAGGTTTATATCTTCTTTCGCCGTTTCGACCTCCTTAAGGACATTGTTAGAAGGGTGAAGTTTGGATTTTATTTTGTGTTTCTTACAGTGAGTCGTGTTAGAAGGGTGAGGTTTATATCTTCTTTCGCCGTTTCGACCTCCTTAAGGACATTGTTAGAAGGGTGAAGTTTGGATTTTATTTTGTGTTTCTTACAGTGAGTGGTGTTAAAAGGGTGAGATTTCTATCCTTTTGAAAATGAAAAAGCATCCTTTTAAAAGCTTTTTGACGAGACTTGTTTCGACTCTTCTGTCGAATAATCTTTTTTAAAAAGATAACAATTCAACCTTCCTGTTAAAGAATCTTATTAAAGAAAGGCAATGTTTAAATCTTCCTGCCAGTGAACCTCAGTAGATGAATAACGATTCTTTCTTTTTTCTGGAATTTTAGTCACATCAAACAAACAAAAACCTATTTTCCTTTAGATTGCTTACAAATAAATACAACGCCATAACATAAGATATTCAGACTTACCATTCGCATTCTCTGCTACATTCAGAACATCGACAACAGATACAGAAGCGAAAACAACCACAACAACGACAGCAGCAACAGCAGATCAACAGGATTAACAGGATCAACAAGATAAGAATCACCAAGGCAACCAACAACCATAAAACAATATCGTAATCCTTCTTTTTTATCATTCTTTCCTAATCAAGTGAAAGAAAAAACATTATAAAACCAAACTGGTTGAATTTATGTAATTTTTGTAATAATCTGGAATTTTGAAGTTTTCAACGTTACAAAATTTCCAAATTCCTTGATTAAGAGATGATCACCGCGTTTTCATATACTATATGAGAAATAATAACAATTCATGATACATCAACGTTCTGAAAATACAGAATTAATGGATTGTTTAACTTTCATCCACATGGCTAATTGTGGAAAAATAGTTAAGAAGTCATCTCGGGCTTTAGAAATATTACGTGTCCACACTCGAACTTCTTTAATTTATAATAAGGCCATTGCATTTCCTCTTTATTTTATTTGTACACTAACTGTATAAATAATTCTTAAAATCACGTGGTTTTAGATGCATTTCACCCTAAAAGACAGCACTGCTTGTCCAGTATAAAGCAGAATGAAAGATGTATATGCTTACGTCATCACATAATATAAACGTTTTTTTTCTTTTATGATTCTTAACGAAATACAGTATTACAGTAAGATTAATAATCTTTATATATTTTAACCATTTATACTCATGGCACAGTTAGAATTGATGTGAAGATCCATAAACTATGAATACATTTTTAAATTTCTTCCTTTAAAGCATTTCCAAAAAAATAGCATGCAACAAAATTTCAAATAATATCATTTTTAATATTACTTCTTAATTCCTAGTTTTCAATTTATAACATTTTTCATGAAAATAGAAATATTTTTAAGGGTAAAACCCAAAAGATATTATTAAATACTTTTTCAAATCAGAAGAAACTAATCGTTGTTTAAACAGAGTACAATGAAATTGATAAACCGTCGTCTCTGTCAGCGTTTTCTTTTTAAATAAATTTATTATATCCACTACTTAAATTTTATTCTTTTGTCACAATATTTTGGTTTCACAAACCCGAAAGATGTAGTGATGGTCATAAAAACCCTATATGTCGCTTGTTAGTGAAAAAAAATAGGCTTAATAGGAGTTAGTAACAAGTTTTTCAGCTTATATATAATGAAATATTTTAATTGGTCAACTTAGGAGCCAGCCACAGTTTTGTATAATACGTAAGAGTTAGCTATTCTTGTCCCCCCCCCCCGTGGCTTAGCAGAAAGTCTGGGGGCTTGTTATGCTAAAATTCAGGTTTCGATTACCCGCGGTAGGTAGAGCATAAGTAGTCCAGGCCAATCGGGTATGAAGACAATGTAATAATAGAAAAAAGAGATTAACTGTAAACTATAGACAATTTGTATATTTAGTTTTATTACTATTAATTTTCTACCACCTTTGATCCATTATATGATTTGTAAGAGCTCCATCATTAATTCCTTTCTCCCTATTATATTTGATGAAGAACAAGTGTCATAATTGCCTTTCGCAACGTTTATGCTACTCTCTGTAACAGAATCATAGATCAAGAATAAAAACACAAAAAACGAAATTTTTTTGCCACAATGAAAGGTAAAATCTTTATTATAGATTACAGTTTGTTTGTTTTTGAATTTCGCGCAAAGCTACACGAGGGCTATATGCGCTAGCAGTCCCTAATTTAGCAGTGTAAAACTAGAGGGAAGGCAGCTAGTCATCACCACCCACCGCCAACTCTTGGGCTACTCTTTTACCAATGAATAGTGGGATTGACCGTCACATTATAACGCCCCCACGACTGAAAGGGCTAGCATGTTTGGTGTGACGGGGATTCGAACTCGCGACTCTCAGATTGCGAGTCGAGTGCCCTAACCACCTGGCCATGCCGGGTCGATATAGATTACAGACTACTAGTTTCGATAACACGGTTATCAAGGCTAGTGTGTTTTTTTTTACTCTTAATATAGTAGCACAATGTGCCCGAAAAAATTATGAAATTCTATCTTACCTTGGTTTCTTCTTTTTGGGAATATTCTCGACCGTTAATGTTACTGTCAAAAAAAAAAGAAAATATTTCTTTAGAGTTAACAAAGCACTTCATTATATAAGATACATGAACATAGGGAAAAACTTAGTTAAACGAGGTTGCATCATGTTTGTGTATTCAAAGAAGCTTCCCGGCTGCATCTTGTCAGAATTTTAAAATACATTTCTTTATAAATATTTACGGAAGTTAGAGTATGTAAATATTGTACTTCAAATGCAAATACACGTGATCAGCTAAACAGGTTAATAATTAGGCCTACAGGCGATACATGATGAGCTAAATCAGTTCAGGGTTGGATCCAATAGGATAATATCTACTTGAAAACAAACAGCTAGTCGTTTCACATTTTATTATACCAGTATAATAGACAATTTGAGTAAAACTAATAACGTAAATAATAGCTATTAATTTATTTCTACATATTTTGGGATTATTATGAATGAAACACTAATAAAACAACAACAACAAGAAAAAAAACACGTCGAACCCAAAAGTCCAGTAGTAGTAATACTTAGTAAAGATGAAAGGAACAAATATAGTTATGTACTAAACAAAAAGAAGTAAAACATAAAATACGTTTTAAAACTGTTGGAGGAAAAATAATTTGTTCGTGTTTCAGATCAAGCGACCTTTCTATTTTGACAGAAGTAGGCCGAATTATGCATAATAGTGTTTAATAATATAAAGCGAGTTCATAGTGTTATGGGCTAGAAGGAGTTTTGACACACGCGTGGCTCAACGTCTGGAATTTTCTTAAAAGTTCATAAAACTTTTATTCAGTTTGAACCGAATAAAAAGCAAGGTAGAATAAAGTAGATTATTCATTTATGAGACTTTTACAATGAATATTTGATTATTGAGTTGGAGAATGTGTTAGTTTGTTAGTTAAAGTCAGGTAATTAGTCAGTTAGTTTAGATTTGTGAATACTGAGTCTGTGTTCTAAAGAAATACCATAGGTAAGAAAAAATTAGCAGGTAAGTGAACTGTGTGTTATTATCTATTTTGAAGTTAGGCCTATCAGTAAACATTAGTAAACCTAACTTGTAGAACTTGAAGTCGAAGAAATAAAACATTTTCTTTTTTATTAAGTGAACTGTACTGTTTATTATTTTGAGCAAATAATCCAAACATATGTGCCCAATAATATAAACAGCCCTTTGAAACACTGGCGTCAAGAGTTGGATTATTTGGTAAAAATATCAGAATTCCTACTAAAATCATGATAACGACATGCACCAAAAGTGAGATTGAAAATTTGCTGGAAGTTATGAAACAGTGAAAAAATTACCGAAAATAAAGACACATAAGATTAAGAGAGGAATTACATGAACGAGACTTATGATTTACAGAAGAATTAAGAACAAAAATCAGTGTAATCGAAAATATGATTGAAGAAGCCATAGAAAATATACAGATTGAGATTAAAAACCATAGAAAATGTATAAAAAGATTATTAAAACAATATCCACGAAATAGAAAAGGATATTAGGGAAGTATGAAAGAATTATATCAACAAGATCAAAAAAGCTATAGGAAAAATACAGAAGCATCGTAACAACGAGATTAATGAAGTATAAAATAAAAGAATATGTAGAAACTGAATTGTCAGGGTAGTGACACCAGTTGGAGAGCTCCTGAAGAAAACACCCTCAGTGATAAAATGCCAAGTTGGTGAAGGGCAAGAAGTTAAGAAGTTACTTTGTCTTCATACTACAATACTATAAGTCACAGAAAAGAAAACCACCAAAGACATTTGGTGATTGAACAAATGAGAAAAGTGTATTAGTAAAGAAAGAAAAATTTTTGTTACTCAAAATTCTTACTGTACATTGTTTTACACTGTTAATTCACGATTCGATAATTGTATTGTCTATATTTATGAATATTCATGTTAATTGGAGTTTATTATTAATTACGAAAGTTTAAGTTTAATAAGCCATTGTTTTCTTTGTTCAAGGGGCTTCACAATCACCCAGGGAAGTGCTATAAGCTTTTTGTATTGTTTGTTTGTTTTGAATTTCGCGCAAAGCTACACGAGGGTTATCTGCGCTAGCTGCCCTAACTTAGCAGTGTAAGACTAGAGGGAAGGCAGCTAGTCATCACCACCCACCGCTAACTCTTGGGCTACTCTTTTACCAATGAATAGTGGTATTGACCGTCACATTATAACGCCCCCCACGGCTGAAAGGGCGAGCATGTTTGGTGGGACGGGGAGGCTTTTTGTAAACTTAGATATTCATATTAATGTTGACTAGAGACAGTTTTGGCGTTACGTGACGAGCGCATGGCTTAACGTTTAGGATTTTCTTCAAAGTTTAAGACATGATTTGAAGCACATAAAAAGCGAGTTAAGCTGTCAGGCAGTTAGCCAGTTTGATCAGTTTAGTGAAAATTGAGTTTGTGTTTCAAAGAATCTAAGGAGATACCAGAAAATTAACAAGAAAGGGAAATTATTGTGTTAATGTCTACTGTGAAGTTAAGCCTATCAGTAAATATTAATAATGCTAAATTGTAGAACTTAATTCGAAGAAATAAAACGCTTTTTCTTTTATTAGGTGGATTGAATTTTGCATTACCTTTACTGAATAGTTTGAAAGCACTCGTCCAACGATAGCAACCATTATAACGATACTTCAGACCCATTAATAAATACTTCTTATCATCATTTTCTTAATTTGGGCTAAATAAAAGTTCTGTCTGCAAGAAATACTATTATATATTATGCATAATCAGTATATATTTCACTATTCTAGACGTTCTTGTCAAAGACTAACCCAAATCCTTTTTCGTTTTTAAGATTTTCCAACTTTTTTGGATAAAGCTTAGAAAGTTAGTAACTTGCCCCTCTCTGTGTCGATATATCCGTTGCAGATATTGTATACCAGGTGGCTCATTTAGGATCATCTTACAATAGCACATACCTTACAGCACTTTGCACTTCTTCAGTGTTGACTGTAGAGTTCTGAGGGAAGACTACCCAGGCTTCTGCTACAGTCCTAGAAATAAACGATTATATCTATGTATATGATTAAAATATTTATCTACCCCTAAAATTAGCTTCATATGTAGTTTATTAATTTTATCACAAAACTGAACTAAACGACACGATTTAACTAATGTTTCTTAGTAAGATTAGTTTCTTGTGGAAAAAATTACCTAAAATGTTGGAAAGAAAGCAGTTTAATAACTACATATGTAAAATAATGGGTTAAGTACATATTTAAAATCAGAAGGTTTAGTTTGAATTTCGCGAAAAGCTACACAAGGGCTACCTGCTTGCTTGTTTGTTTGTTTGTTTTGAATTTTGCGCAAAGGTACACGAGGACTATCTGCGCTAGCCGTCCCTAATTTAGCAGTGTAAGACGAGAGGGAAGGCAGCTAGTCATCACTAACTACCGCCAACTCTTGGGCTATTCTTTTACCAATGCATAATGCTCGCCCACAGCTGAAAGGGCGAGCATTTTTGGTGGGACTGGGATTCGAACCCGCGACCCTCAGATTGCGAGTCGAGCGTCCTAACCAACTGGCCAGGGCGGGCCAAAATCTTAAGTCCACTAAGAGCAAGACCGTATCGAAATTTTATATTCTAAAATAAATTTTGAATTATATAACAAAAATTACTGTAATCGTTAAGATTCTTGACAAATCATACTGACTCATACTGGTTTAACGGTGGAGTATGTTTTCTTAGATACATATGTTTGAATGCATTATATCAAAATGATTTTGAAAATGCAAATAGTAATTGATAGGACAACCACAGCCGATATAACGTCGCATTTGAATGGTATGTATCAGAACTCCATTTCGATATTGAAAGTAATGAAACAGACCTTTTTGACCTAAAGTATTCACACACACTCAAATCATAAAGATGTGTCCCAATCAGGGATTTAGGATTTCCAAGATGGGTTACCCATTGCATTTAATGGCATAGGAAAACAAAGGAATATAGTCAACTTGTGAATCAGAACCACCCAGGAAGATTTCTGCGACAAGTTGCACCACAGCCGTGGTTAACAAAATACAATGCCTTGTAGCAGGTAAGAATTCACGAACTCAAAAGTAAGTTGCAACATAATAAAAGAAACTACCCTGTTGGGCTACTGTCAGTGTGTACGGTCATCAGATAGAGCCTTACCAGACATGGCGACATGAAGCGTAACGACGTGGTTGGTCTCCAAAATGGTTTTAATATAATGTACTCATCCTGTGTTTACCTAATTAATTAAACTCGAACCTACAGACATTAGGATAACCTACTTTTCTCTCTGTCCTTCCAAAGGTTCCAGGTCATATATGTTAACTCGAGATCCAGTTAACTTACTCAGAGATCTAAATGTAATAGAACAAAGAATTAATTAAAATTTAGTAATATTAACGAATATGCCCCAACGTTATCTGATAGATAAGCAAATACCAATGATACAGTTAATCTACTTAGCTTAATACTAATCAAACTACGGACGTAAGGCAATACCAATCGTACAGTGGTTTTGTTTAGCTTAACAGTAAAGAGATAAAATTTATCAACAATAGCATAAAGTTTGTTGAAGAAAAAAATTACACAACCTATAATGGTTGTCCTAGGTTAGAAAAAAAACAACAAATTAATTAATCAATTTCTTAGTTTAATATTCATCGAAAAATTTGTTACAGCACAGAAAAATTAAGCTTAGCAAAGAAAAACTGATAATTTTCTCATATGAAAGAATCTTTTTACCTCTCTACGTTATCCTTGTTTGCTCTGACGTCATTTACTGGTCGAGAAATGATAAACTGAATTGTACGATTAAGGTAATCCTGGAAAATAATAAAAATCTCGAAGTTTTTATGCATTTTTCCAAGACCTATAAACGAAGAAAACCCAACAACAGCTATTTTATTCAATAGCGGCATGAGTGTGAATCGCAAAGAATGTATATCACAAGTTAGTCTTCATTCATTTTTGCCTTATTAGTTAATGTTATACCGCTAGCTAAGCCAACAAGAATTAACTCTGTGTTGTTTTTTTTTTACTCATTTGGCAAGAGTTAGAATTCTGAGACATGATATATTGGTACTTCAACTAAAAAACCCAGCACGTAGATTTTTGCGGTTAGAGGGAGTCTTGTTTATGAGATGGAAGGTGTACGATAACCGTGTAGTTAAACATTGTTTTACTTACGACCTTTAGTTTAGGTGTAAGAGCACACTTGTGAATCCTTACTTTGTTTGATGTGGGTTTCAACGACGGGAAGTACTAGTGCTGATATTTCATAGAATATTACAATAGACATTACCATACTGAATAAGCATTGTCTTACTTATGGCCTATAGCTCAAGTGTAAAACCACTTCTTAAAACTTACTTTGTTTGATGTTGGTTTGAATGATGGGATGCTGGTTGTGACATTTTGTGTAATGTTAAATTGTTATATATATATATATACAAAAACTCTCATACTACTAGCCCTGCTGTAGCAGTAATGGCGAAACTTTGGCTGAAATAAAAAATATTTATTATTATCTGGAGAGTAAAAGGCATTATTTTCTATCTTTATTATCTACATTAGAATGTATTATAAAAATCTGGTTTAAAATTAAAAATTCAATGTTATTTTTCATCAAAAGACTGTCTGTCTTATTTATATCTTTAGAAAATGTATTTAAAAGTAATGGAAAGCCAGCTGAAAAATCTTGAAAATATTAACAAAAATTAACATTTATAATTTCATAAGATTCATTAGAACTTGATACTTTACATTACACGTAAAAACTACGCTATTTTATTCTGGTAAGTGTCTTCTAATATATGAAATAACAGATAATTAACTTTCTGCATCTGATACCTGTGTATGAATTTGAACTTCCACTGTAGTTTGTTGAGGTGGCGAGCCGCCATCATCAGCCTGGACTCTTAGGACAACAGGAGTTGCTGAAGACTGACTGCCTGAGATAAGCGGTTTCGTAATAGTCAACTCCCCGGTTGCTTGATTTATCCTAAACCTGTCACTATAAGGTCCATTCAAGATGCGATAGGTCAATTTATTGGTGGTTCCGGCTGCATCAGGATCTTCAGCCTATGTATGAAAAAACACAAGAAGGATTTGAGCATTTCTTCAACTCATTAAATAAGCAAATGTTTAATGAATACTAATAACATAAGCAAAAAGGTCAATTCACATATTAAAGCTTCGCTTACAGGATTATATATCTTTATTGGAGTACCTGTGTATCCCTCCAGTGGCTCAGTGGAAAGTCTGGTGGCTTATAACGCTAAAAACCGGGGCACAGCAGTTATAGCCCGTTGTGTAGCTTTGTGCTCAGTAACAAACAAAGTATTGTTTGTTTGTTTGTAATTAACCACAAAGCTACACAATGGGCTATCTGTGCTCTGCCCACCACGGATATCGAAACCCGGATTCCAGCGTTGTAAGTTCGCAGACATACCGCTGTGCCACTGGGGGCCCAAACAAAGTAATTGTGCAAGTTTTTAAATAATGAAGCAAAGTAACTCTAAAGTTAACTCATTAAACCTAAAGACCAGTTGCGTCGATTCTAGAACTAAGTGATTTCAGTTATAGACTTATATAAATAAAATTGTTTTTAAACTGAGAACACTAACCTCAAATGCCTCAGTTTGAATCTGAGAATTTATGATTCACGTCCCATTTATACAAAATCGCACTCCGCACTTTGGAACATGTGTGCGTTATAAGAGTGTCAGTCAAATCTCTCTAATAAATTAGAATTGTCCAGTAATTCGCAGTGTGTGTTGTTTACTTGATTTTTGCTTTTTTAGCTTTGCATAGTTTTGCGCTAATATCCAAAATCAACCACCAAAACTAATCTAAATTGTATGTCATTAATAAAGTGGTTGTTTTAATAACGACTAGATAAGAAATATATCAAAGCTGCAACTTTAGTTTTCTTGTATTTTTGTAAGCCAAGAATTTTTGCAACCGTATAGCTAGACCATTCAGCAACCATATAGAACGAGCGTGTTCGGTGATGGGGATTCGAACTCGTAACCCTCAGATTGCGAGTCGAGCGTTATAGCCACCAGGCCATGGCATGTCCGCAGCTTTAGTAAGGTACTTTCTTGAATGTGGCTTTCTATTTTAAAACCTCGTCCTGTCCATATGAGAACATTGGAATAAAAAAAATCTGAAAAGATTAATTAGAGAAAATAAAAATGATTTGTCAAGATTGATTAAAACGCCTTCCTCTGGTACAGGCCGAACTATGATCTAAGGTTCGCAATGTTACTATAGAAAATTAAATAACGCTCCATACTTTGGCTCCATGGATGTGTTATAAGAGAGACAGCCAAATACTACTCGATTATAGTAGCCCAAGAACTGATAGTGGGTGGCGTTGACTAGCTGCATCCCCTCTAGTCTACCATTTTGAAATTAAGGACGGCTGGCGCAGATAGCTCTCGAATAGCTTTGCGCGAAATTCAACTAACGAACAAATCATCTGACCCCAGCATTTATTTAATTCAAAAGCTATTTAGTACCCATAATTACCTTGATAAATATTTTTCGATCAAAGCCGCTCAAATCTGTATTCAAGATGGCGTCGTAACGTGGTTGTTCGAACACGGGTTTGTTGTCGTTAATATCCAGAAGACGAATCACAAGATGGGTGACATTTCTATTTCCACGACCCAAGTCGTCACGTGCTTCAATAGTTAATGTATACTGTGGCACATTTTCTCTATCCAGGCCTTGTGATGACGTCAGAGTAACTTCTCCTGTATCTGGGTCCAAATTCATTCTAATCAGAGGTAAAGAGTGAAAAAAAATAATATCTGAATCAAGTCATACACCTAATTCCCACGAAAATCACTTTTCCGGTTTCTGAGATCAACTAGTGAAAAGCACTAAAATTATGAGAAATATCAAGTAATTGTATTTCACTTTACTGAAAGTACCACAATGATAAGAGGAATTACTGTTTTGTCACGAACCTCACAATCTGCAGATCGCAAAGTTCCAATTCCGTCACTGAACATGCTCGCCCTTTCAATCTTGGGGTGTTATAATATGAATATCAATCCCACTATTATTTGGTAAAAATGAAACCAGAGGATTGGTAGTGGGTGGTGTTGACTAGCTGCCTTTTATTTAGTCTAATTCTTCTAAATTAGAGACGGTTAGAGCAATTAGCCCCCGAGTAGCTTTCCACGAAATCCAAAAACAAACACAAATCTTACCCCAGTGTATGCGTATGCAGATACTACATTCATGAGTTTCACTTGAAATAGTGGAAATAAATAGATATGATGAATAATGCCAATAAACTAATTCGAGACACCTAATTTTTTGGCTACTTTATTGGGTTTTAATTTCTTATAAGATAGAATAAAGTGCGAACATTACTAACCTTTAACCTAATCCACGAAATCTATGTTACAATTTAAGATATACATTTTTGCTACGAGAGTAGACGTGACTTGAAGTATTAATTTAATTAAGATCAAGTTTTTCCTCGATATTAAAAGTTGTTTATGAAAGTATATGAAAGTGACAGTCGAACTAGGTGACTGTCGAGTTTGTTCAACATACATTTCTTTGTCTGTTTGCTTCTTTAGTTTGTTTTTATTTATGCACAAAGCTACACAAGGGCTATCTGTGCTCTGCCCACCACGGGTATCGAAACCCAGTTTCTAGCGTTGTAAGTCCGCAGACATACCGCTGTGCCACTGGGAGGCATTTCTTTGTCAAATGTTTATATATCATATAGGAATTTCAACTTTATTATTAGATCTTCTTTTTCAGCCCCCCATTTTTTTCAAACTCGTGTGAAACATTCTTATAATCCAATCAAACACTTCATAATTTTGATCTCAAGTGAAAAAAAAATTCAAAACTTAAAAGTGTCTGAAACAAATCCATACTATAAAACAACTTGTGTCTAAATGCCTGATTCTCCGTAACGAGAAATTTTCGACCTTCTAACCTCAAATCATCATGAAACTTTCAAAGGTTCTTGGCCTAGAATGATTTTCAAAAACATTTACTCAATGATTTTCCCATTTTCCAAGTTTGACAGCCATTTCAATTCCACCCTCCCACTCATGTTATAATGCCATAGTGCAGGCGAATGACGTACACGCACACCTATCTGCCATTCACGTGAAGTCAATTAAATGAATTCTGCGCGAGGCGTGGGTATATCTATCCTATGAAACTCTAAGAAGAAAAAATTCTTTATGTAGTATAGAAAATGTTCAAACTATGTCACCCATAAACAGGCAAAGCAAAGAAGTATTTGCTGTAGGCCACAAAATCCGATAAAGAACTGCAGTATAGAAATAGAACATTTTCAAATATCCTATGGCACACAAAAAAAGTTAGCTAATTATTAAGCGAAATCAAACTGACATAGAATATGTTCGTGTTGGTATTAGATTTAAATATACTGCTCGTTTGCCACTTTATAGTAGTTTATATATATATATTGAATTCTTTTCAGATATTATGAAGCTGAAACTTCTTCTGGCCTCCTTTTGTTTTGGTTTTCGAGGTAGACTCTAAGTTTTTCTCTTCATCTCGATACATAAATAGGTATAAACTATTTGATCCGAATACAGCCTAGAAATAAGATCCGGTACTTTATCAGCCTGAAGGGAGATTTATAAGTTTTCATGTGCCTTTTTTTTGTATTAACTTAGGGGGCCCATCGGTGCATTGCCCTGATTGCACCGATGTTAAATACACCACTGAATTGAATTCATCTTGGGATTAGAGTAGTCCTATATACGAAAAAGGATTGAAAATAATGAAATGCAATCATCAACAAGTACTAAAATACAAATAAGATATTGAGTTTATAGCTAGCACAGACTTGCCAGAAATGAATAGGAGATGTAGTATTAGTTGACTTGCTTGTATCCAGGTTATATCTATGGCTGATCAGTATGTACTGGCTCCCTAAGAAAACTACACCGAGTAGTTTGAAGTGTTAAAAACGCCTGTGAAATTTAAATTCAATATTTATCACCTCCTACTGATTTCTTTTATTCTAACTTTCCTTTGACATTTAGGTTTTTATTTATTAAACATAACTGCCAAAACGTTTTGATTGATATTACGTAGATATATATCATTAAAAGGTGTTTTCAGAAACAATTATGGTTAAGAAGTTTACTCACAATTCCGCGATGGGTCCGTTGATTGCTGTATAGCGAATTTTACCGTAGTCGCCAGTGTCGACGTCTGTTGCCTAAAACCGACATTAGATAAAAGATAAAGTCAGCTTGTAAGCCTTATATACTCTCTATGGTATTAAATTGCTCATCAGAAGTTCAAATTTTTCAAATAGATCAGTTATATCTATATAAAAGCTTTTCAATTTTAATTATACTATAATCTGTATATATATTATTAAATATTTAATATTAATCAATCTACAAAATGACTTAAGTAGTTTATAAAATGACACCTTAAGAAAAATAAGCTATTTATTAAAAGTATTTCACACTAAATTGTCTCACATAAACTCTTGTCACAAAGGTTCCAGGTGCTGCGTTTTCTTGTATTGTGGCTTCGTACGTTTCTTTAGAAAATTGAGGGATATTGTCGTTCGAATCAAGAATGTTAACCCTAATCTTGGCTCTAGCCGACAGAGTTTCAGAAGAACGAGCTACAACCTAAAAAACAGGTTTTGCGATTACAATGTGACAATGAAACAATTATTGCCTTCAAATGAATTTGATTTAAAAATTGACTGAAAATACTACAGTATTTAAAGTATGTCCACAATCCTACAACAATGTCAAATTTTTGTCTTTAATGTGATATTATTATGGACTTTTTTAATTTACACGTTTGTGTTATTGTTTGTCTCGGAAAAATTTTTACGTCGCGTAAGAGGTATGTCTTAATATTAGAACTTTTCTGAAAGTGTAGGAAACAATATATGAGACATGACTTACAATAGAATAGGACAATAGGTTCAGTGGAGCAGGAACCTGGGGAACGAGGAGAGCGGTCGCTCCCCCCCCCCTTCCACCAGGATCCGGAATCGGTATGAGAACCAAGGCAACAAAAAATTACCAATTAGGGTTTGAATATATTAAAAATAGTGTATATATCGTATAGTGTCATTAGTTTCTGAACAACAATAGCCTCCATGTTTAAGCGATATCTATCAGTTTCAAGTCCACTGAAGGTCGCTTCCCTCTGGCAAAAAGAAGTTCCTACGCCTGTGAGTAGGTTGGGTGATTTGTGACTACTGTAATGATTGATTACTGAGTTAGTAGATTTGGTAGTCTGTTACTTCAGTTTTGTGAATATATGGTTTGTGTTTCAATAACGTTCCAGATATACAAAGAAAATGGCATAGGTACAAGAGAAAAATTAGCAAGTCTGTGAACTTGGTCTATCATTGAACATTATGTTGTTGTTGTTTGTTCGCGCAAAGCTACGCGGTTGGTTATTTGCGCTCTATCTACCACGGAGAATTGAATTCTGGATCTTAGCTTTGTAATTCTGTACACTTATCGCTCACCCACCGGAAGATCACTGAACATTGGTAAAGGGACTAGCTAACCTATCCCACTATTGACACCAGTTCGTTATACTTTATGTTGTTGGACGGGTTTTCTTGGATTATATGGTTAAAAGAATGCAAAGTCCTGTCCATTTAGATATATTAAAATCGTTTTATTTCTTCAGGTTCTACAAATTAGGTTGTGAAGCTTTATACCTAAAAACAAACACATTTTGATAAAATATAAAATCAAAGTCCAACTTCCAGGTGATGACATTTATTCGATACAAGATTAAAGTTTTACTAAAGATGATGAAACAGTGGAAAAAAGATCAAAAACAAAGTGACAAAAAATTAAAGGAAGAAAAAGAAGAAAGAAAAAGAAAATAAAACCTCTAGAAGAAAGAGATGAAAAAAAAAACAGAAACTTAAAATATAGAGAAAGAAACTTAAAATAAGACCAAAACGAAGGAGACGGGAAGCTGAGGGAAGTATAAAAAGAACAAGACAAAAGATTAGCAGAGTTGTGAACAAAATGGAATTTGATTAAACACAAGATCGACGAAACGATATAAAATGTACAGACTGAAGTATAGAAAACAATAGGAGATATAAAGAAAAATTACAACAACATCAATGAAATATAGAGTTTCACAAAAGAATGAAGTTTCGAAAGTAAACATTATGAGCAGAATAAAGAGTAAAGAAGAGATTTTAGCTGAATTTGCAGAAGATGTGGAAAGATTTGCACACTCATCCAGATACTCCACATGAAATGATGGATTCGTTGACATGTGACCTATTTATAGACGTCACAGTAGTGATAGATTGGGTGTACATCTGCAAAGAAGTTGTCCAAGCGATGGAACTTGAATCAATTAAAGTGGCAGATATACAACTGAAAGCACCATCAAGGAATTATAGGATCGTGAGACCAAAGAGTGTGGAAACATGAACTTTTGATGGAGATCGAGGAGAACTCAAAAGATTAAGAGTGGAAGAAGTAAACCACAGGACAGAAGATGTTTCAATTGTAATCTAAAAAGACAAATTGCCAGTTACTGCAGCCTTTAGGAAAGAGAAAATGCTCCCTCCCCCCAAAAATACAAGAAAGGGTTTGGTTTGTTACGAATTTCGCGCAAAGCTACACGAGGGCTATCTGCGCTAGCTGTTCCTAATTTAGCAGTGTAAGACCAGAGGGAAGGCAGCTAGTTCTCATAACCCACCGCCTACTCTTGGGCTACTCTTTTACCAACGAATAGTGGGATTGACTGTCACATTATAACGCCGCCACGGCTGAAAGGGCGAGCATGTTTGGTGTGACGGGGATTCGAGCCCGCGACCCGCAGATTACGAGTCGAGCGCCCTAACCACCTGGCCATGCCGGGCCACAAGAAAAGGAAACTTCTATAAGTGTGGAAAACACAGACACTACTTCCGAGACTATGATGACTCATTCGTTGACGATAAACGAAGGAGATGATATCCTGAGGATAAGAATAAAGCACAAGTAGTCAATCAGAGTGATCTTATGATCACAAGAGTATCTCCAGATGAAATGAAATTCGTTTCACGAATTATAGAACTAATAAAAACAAAGCAATATACATGAAACACTTTTTAAATAGTCCATACTTATCAAATATCACATTCACAGTACTATATTGTTTTTCCTCATTTTGAACTTGGCTCCCCATATTTCAACCCCTCTTCAACCTATATCGCTTAAATATGTTGCCAATCTGTGGAGTCCTGTATGAATATATATTTTAGGCTAAAATCCATTTCTAACACTCTAAACTGTGGTTTTGGTATTATGATAAATGATGAGGAAATTTCTACGCCTTTTTACTTTTTTCACTTGTAGATTCCATTTTGTTTTCAGAAAGTACGATGTCAAAACTCAGAATAGAATCATGATCTATATCATATAGTTAGAATGTCCAAACATATTAAAATGACGTTTCGTAATCCTCTTATTCGCATATGGAAAATCGTTTTTGTACACGAAAGCACCTTCTCTGAACAATTATATACGTCCGCCATTTTGTTTCTGTTTGCACCATTTGCCTGAAATTTGTGTTAAAAATTCCATTTTCTTCATATAATTCAATAAGATACTACTTAAATACTAACTCTGATACTGATATTTGTTCACTGATCATATCACTTATCCTATATTTGAACATACTTTAGTTTGTACAACAACGACTGAACAACGGAAACAAATATTATAAAAGTGTAATTTGTTCATGTTTTTAAATTTTCAGTTTATTACGTTATATGATCAAGTGAACTTACTGTTAACATGTATATATTTATATTTCATTAATAATTTATTTTAAGGATTTGTACAACTAGCTACTACCGTCATGTCTATGTATTTGGTTTCCCGGTTTTCGTAATCCAGGTTAGCTGGGATTCTGACTAGAAGTTCAAAGTCCAGTACGCCTGACCCTGAACTCGGCACAATTTGAAAAGTCCCACTTTCACCTTCCAAAAACAGCTTGAACATAGCGTCATCGCCCTATTAAAAAAGAAAGAAATAGAAAACTACAGACTTCATTCAGGAATAAACGTAAATTACGCGATTTAGTTATTCTTGACTCTTACATCGATGTAAAACTATTGACAATGCACTTCATGAAATTTACCGAATAATAACATATAACACAAAATAAATAAATAGATATATGTATATAACGATCTTGTAGAAATTATTAAATGATAAGACTAAAATAATTCTATTGAACTCAAAGCCGTCAGTGTGTTAACATTAGAAAAACGACACGTCTCCAAGTAATAAATATAGATATCTAACTCTATGTTCTGGCGATAGTGTGTATTTAGAAAAATGGCGTTTAGGTAATTTGTTTAACGCGTCAAAAGAGTTTTATTAACAATACTTTCCTCAAAATGAGTTTCTCTGAGAGGATCAATATTACTTGGAACTTGAAACGTTGCCCAGAAACCAAATCAACAAACTAAAGGAGTTTATAGCAAAGAACTGCAGCTTGCTGTACGTCTATAAAAGCTGTTGTTTTTATGGCAACGAATTAAATAAATTGTCTTCATAAGACAACAGTTATCAACATAGCGGAATATACAGAACTTTCAGAATGAATCAAACATCACATTGATAGAGTATACTACATATATATTGATTCTCGGTGGCCCAGCAAGCTCGGGAATTTATAACGACAAAAATTCGGGATTCGGGGAAAATAATTTACTATGCAGCTTTATGCTTTAACACACACAAACGGACAAATAGATATGTAAATACAAATAAATATTGTAACTCTTATAACTATAACTTAAAATGCCTACGTTAACTGACTGTTCTCGCCAAGATAATTGTTTCACAAATATTCAGTTTTTAATAACTTATGTTTTAAATAAATAATCGTATTTCATTGTGTTCTTGACCTTATCATCATCAATCACACGAGGAATTACAGCGCCTTCCCATCGTACTGCAGTTTGTGAAGGACTATTTTCTTGAATCGTTCCAACATAACTTTCACTCGTGAATCGTGGAGCACGGTTTGGGTTGTTTATTGTTGATTGGCTTGGAATATTATTTGTTTGTTGATTTATAGTGTTACTTGAATCAGAATTTGCAGCATTGCTTGTAGAATGATATGGAATTGAAGTGTCGGTTTTTTCCAATAAAAACGATACTTTCACTGTAGTTTCTGCTGATGGATTCGACGACGACACTTCCGTAGCCTAAAAATAACGAATGTAAAGCTAATCACTTGACGCATTATGTTTAAAATTGAATTGATGAAAAAACCCTCTATTAAAAAAAAATCTGAATTATTCATGAGCAGTCTGATATTAAAAAGTGAAAGTTGAAAATACACTGTTAAAACATTTTTTATTCAGGAATAAGTAAAAAATCTTATGAATAAAATAAAATATATAAACATTAGAATATCGTAATTAATTCTTCTACATAAGAAAGTTATTAGTACACTTAAAAATGGAATGTAAGCTGGAAAAGATTTTGCAAAATGATAATTAAATAGCCAAGTTATTTAACAAACAATGTCTAAGCCTTATAAATTTGAAATATCCAAGGTGATTTCAGACAACGACCAATGTAAAGGCATTGCTATAATTTCCAATAAGTCTAAGAAAATAATGTAGATACTTTGATGTATGCATCATATTACTTGAATCGATGAAACAATAAAATTAACGATCATTTTAACGGCATACCTTGACTCCCAGTAATAAAGGACTGCAACAACCATATTCTCTTCGCAATTCTTCTACACTCTTCAGTAAGGTTATTGTACCATTGGTAGAGTTGATGGAAAAAAAAGATCCCAACGTAGAGTCTATGAAAATAACAGTCTTGAGTAAGAGGCATTAGCTTAATACATACATAAAATTTTTTAGAGTGAACAGGAATTAATTACTTCTACGACAATTTTCCAATCTAATGTGTAAAGTGAAGTGATGCCTGTGAAGAAACAAATGTTGCTGTAACAATTAAAACGTGTATACTGTTAACAACGGGTGTTGTAGTAACTAAAACACCTGCATTGTTAAGAAGTAGATGCTTATTTGTGTGAAGTTAGGCACAAAGCTACACAATGGGCTGTCTGTGCTCTGCCCACCATGGGTATCGAAACCCGGTTTCTGGCGTTTTAAATCCGCAAACGTACCGCTGTGCCACTGGGGGGCAAGTAGATGCTGCTCTAGTAACTAAAGCATATTCTGTTCAGAAATAGAGAGAATTTTGAAATATTGAATGGGAAATGGGAAATGTAAAATGGTTCTTAAAATATTGTTGAAAATACTTAAAATATTCTAAAAGATATTCTTAATATACTACATGGGAAACTTTAAAGTTTTTACATATAAAATGATGATTCGATATATAGTATTGAAAATATATACATATGTAAAAAAAAAGATAATTGTTAATATCAACGTCTGTAAAATTAAGAATCTTAAGAAACAAAATTTTGAAATATATTCTAAGAAAACCTATCATTTTTCAAAATAAAAGCATTTTTGGACAAATGAAGCTGATTTTTTTAAAAATAAGTTTTATTGAGTTTATTTTGCAAAATAAATAAAATGTTCAAATATAAAAGGAGTCTTGATTATAATGTAAGGAATTTAAGAAAAACTAAAAATTATGTAAGTATATTGTTTGTTTTTAAATGAAAAATGTTTCCAGAAATAATCCTAATGATATTGGGTTGAAACTGCACTCAATTCAAAATGAGTGAAATATAAATATATATCAAAGTTGGGGGGGGTAGGTTTGAGGGGATTAAACAAGTACATTTTACAGAAATGAACATTTTAAATGTTAATGAAATCAACCTCTCTCTAAAATATAATATATATACTTCAATTAAAAATTTTGAAAAATATGTAAATGATTGCAGTTAAACCCACCCGTATCAATGCTGTATGTTATGTTATTCTTATTTGCTGTGTCTCCATCTTCAGCTCGAATATCAACTAAGGTAGCACCCTGTAAGTATAAACAAATATTGTGTTAGTATCATTAAAAGCACTCAATATATAGAGGACCAAGTCAAGAGAAAGTAGAAATGCTCATTGTTATCGCTTAGTATAAGTCATTGGTATTTATTGAACAAAACTGGTGAGACAAGCTAAAATATTAATTACTATCAAATGTCAAAGGAAGTCACTATAATTCTTCAACGTAAATTGAAAACAATACACAACAAATTTCAAAGTAAGTCACTATAATCCTACAAGATAAACTAAAAACAATACTTAAAAAAAAATCAAAGTAAATCACTATAATCCTTCAACACAAACTAAAAACAATACTTAACAAAAAGTCAAAGTAAGTCACTATTATCCTTCAACACAAACTAAAAACAATACTCAACAAAAATTCAACATTAAGTCACTATAATCCTTAAACACAAACCTAAAACAATACTCAATAAAAAGCCAAAGTAAGTCACTATAATCCTTCAACACAAACTAAAAACAATACTCAACAAAAAGTCGAAGTAAGTCACTATAATCCTTAAACACAAACAAAAACAATACTCAACAAAAATTCAAGATTAAGTCACTTTTAATCCTTCAACGTGAACTGAAAACACCACTCAAGAAATGTAAAATAAGTCAATATATTTCTTCAATGCAAACAGAAAGCAATACTGAATAAAAATCAAAGCAAATCACTACAATCCTTCAATGTAAGTCGAATATAATCACTATAGAAGTAAAGCGTTGACTCGCAGTGCGATTTTATTCAATCAACATAGTGGAAACGTTAACTGTAATCACTCGTCTTAAAACACAGTAGAACTAAAAAGGCTCGCAATAATCATTCAAGAAAGAAGAGAGATTTTTGCTTCTGACACCTTCGCTAAACTTTGCCCTGGCGTCAAGGTTATAATAAAATAATCGAAAATTTCGAAAGTTTCTTTAGTTTGGAATTTTATAACAACGTTATTCATCTAAGCAAGAAATTATTCGGCGTTATTCAGTACCGTTTGGTTAAGAATGTCCTAGCTACAATTGAATAAATGCTAAGAAAAAAAAAAGAAATTAATGGAGAAAGAAAACGTAACCGGGCGGTATTAAATTATATTACATTACTTTTAATAAAAGCATTCAATTATGCTATGTCTAACGGACGGTCATGAACAGTTATTGTTATAAACATATTATAAATTTTAAAAAATAAAATTACAAAACATTGTACCGCTTCAGCTGCAAAAGTATTTCTAACGCTAAAAATTAGAGAATAAAATTGGGTAGTTCAGTATCCAAAAAGCATATATAAAACAATAATAATTTTCCAATCTTTATTACTCTGTACGTACTGAAAAGGTTTCATCACATTCACACACTACGTTTTTAATAAAAAGTACGTAACATTTCCGTAGAACTCATATTCAAAACTTTACACTGAAACACTTTTTTTATTAGAGGAGATGTAGAAAACCAGCGAATTTTAGCTCTTGTATATTATGGAGAATATACATTCGATTGTTGTAATGTTAAAACACGTAAATAAAACAAAGCCTGCATGAACACGTATTTAGCTCTTTAAGTAAAGAAACACTTTATTCACAATTTGTTCTACAGTGTTCACAACTTTACCATAAAACGTTGAAAGCAAAAAAAAACAAAAAAAACGAAAACCCTAGCTTCTGTTAATTTTATATGTAAGCTCTAGTGGGTATGTAAACAGAAAACAATACTCACCAGATGAAACTATACGAACCTTACATCTAGCCCTGATTTCTGAGGTTTAAATGCACCTGAGGAAGGGCGTTTTGTCCAAAACGACGTGTAAATAAATATTTCTAAATGCTATTAATATTACGTCATTTAATTTTTTCTCTATACATTTTCTCCTGTTAAGAGCAAAAACGTATAGGAACTGATTTTGTTGTTAAGCACAAAGCTACACAATAGGTTGTCTGTGCTTTACCAATTGTGGGTATCGAAACCCAATTTTTAGTGTTATAATTCCTCATGCTTACCGCTGATTCTCCGATAAGGGAGCAGAGAGACTGGAGCAAGACTTTGTACTACTTAACATTTATCTTTAGTGTTTGCTAATAATAATAATAATAATTTTCTTATTACTGTGTTCAGAAGGAACAATGAAGGCTTGGGAAGCTTAAAAAATACCGAACAAATAGAGACTAAGATTACAGTACTTTTAGCAGGGGAGCTTTTTAAATGTTTATGAGTAAACATTTTTATAATAAGTATATATGTAAAGTTTAACGTAATTAAATACGGGAAGTATATTTATATTTAATGACTAAGTGTTACGACGCGCTGAGTTCGTCCTTGAATACTTACAGACTTTATTGTGTCAGAAATAGTAACAACAGATGGCAATTGCTGGAAAACTGGTGGACTGTCTTGGATATCTTGAACAAGGATTACAACATCTACTGTGGCAATGTTTCTTGTGTCGAGAGTCACGTTGGTCCAGGCGTTCTAAACAGGAGTAACATGAGAGAATGTTTCTGGATGGTTCTAATTTCACCAAAATACTTCTTCAGAAATTTTTATAGACACAAAGATGCATAGTTTGCCTGGGTATCTGGATTGAAAAAGACTGAGAAGCATTTAATCAAAATGTATGTTTACGGAGATATTGCACTAAATTACAAGTTTTCTTAGCTTAGAGTTTAAAAAAATATTAGATTATCATTAATGTACAAATTATTTTGTTTTATGTAAGTTGTATTTTTCCTGTTTTTTCCTGTTTATGTTTAAACCTGTCTAAACTCTTAAAAATAGCACATTTTGAAATTACATTGGTAAACATTTTTTAGTTACCTACTTATTGTCATCTTTAGTAGAAAGAACTCATTTCCTGCGATCAAATTATTTTCGAATGACAGGACGTTATTCAAAGACTATCTCTAGTACAACTGAATAACAGCCAATGATAGCATTAGTTTCAACAAATAATTTTCATAGAAAAGGGATTATTATTAATGACATGACTTTCTTCGGAACTTGAATTTTATATAACAAGAGAACTTCCTATAATAATTAATTTTCAAAGGACGTCGTTTAAAAAAGATATTTTTAACTACTTATTAATGACATGAATTAATTCAAATGTCAATTTTCATAAAAGGAATTTACTTAATAATTAAACAGTTTTTAAATAGTTTACACAAAGAGAAATTATTAATGGTGTGACTACTTTCAGAATATATTTCATAATATAACTACATTACGGATCTTTAGTTTGTTATAATTTAATTTCTCCAAGAATAACGTTATTTATTAAAGTCGGGACTTTCAATTTACTATAATTTACCTTCTTTGAGCTGCCTTATTTGTTTGTTGAATTTCACGCAAATCTACTCGAAGGCTATCTGCACTAGTCATTCCTAATTTCGAGTGATAGACTTGAAGGAAGACAGCTGCTCAACACTACCCACTGCCAACTCTTCGCCTAATCTTTTGCTAATGAATAGTAGGATTGATCGTAACATGATAATGCCTCCACGGCTGAAAGGGCGAGCATGTTCAGTGATAAGATTTAAATCCATGACTTGAGGATTGTGAGTTGAATGCCCTAACCACCAGCCTTCAAACTGTTTTACAACAAACTAATTCATAAGAGTTAGGAAAATAAATTCAACATAATTTATAATATTCAAAGTCCACCTGGAGTTATGCCTGGACGGTTTTTTAAAGTCTAGCTCTTCCATACAATTACAGTTATTTCTTATAGCTAGACAGCTTTTCCAAAGTCTAGCCCTCTTACAATTACAGTTATTTCTTATAGCTAGACAGCTTTTCCAAAGTCTAGCTCTCATACAATTACAGTTATTTCTTATAGCTAGACAGCTTTTCCAAAGTCTAGCCCTCTTACAATTACAGTTATTTCTTATGTCTGGTCAGTTTTTTCCAAAGTATAGCCTTTCTACAATTACAGTACTGATAGCTGGGTAGTTTTTCTAAAGTCTAGCCTTCCTACAATTATAATACTCATAGCTGGGTAGTTTTTCAAAGTCTAGGCTTCCTACAATTATCATACTTATAGCTGGGTAGTTTTCTAAAGTCTAGCCATTCTACAATTATAATACTTATAGCTGGGTAGTTTTACTAAAGTCTAGCCATCCTACAATTATAATACTTATAGCTGGGTAGTTTTTTTAAAAGACTAGCTCTGATAAAATTACAGTAATTAGAGTTGGGCAACTTTTCTAAAGTTTAGCTCTCCTACAATCATCGCACTTATTTCAAGTTCAGAAATTTCATCCGAACACAATTAGTTTTTTCAGAGTTTGACTTCTCTATTATAATGGCACTTACCAGCGCCAGAATTTTCAACTTAATATAATCAGCTTCTTCAAAATCTAGCCCTCCTACAATCTTCAATTCTGCTTTACTGCTTCCTCGTGGTCCAAACACGTACTTGATGGTAAATTTGTCAGATCCCTAAAACAAAATAAGAGGACTATGATGATTGATAATTTATTACTGGAAGTGAAATCTTGGCTAATATGGATTTTATATAACGTAGAGCAACAACATCAAATCATATTATTTGAAATGGTGGACAAAGAGCTCTAAATCTTATGTTTTGTACAACTTCGTGCCTGAAGTATAGAGTGTGATTTGTAAAATCTCGGAACATGAATTGCTGAGTACATTAATTTTTACCAATACTCTTAAACTTCAAGTTACAAGTACAGATTAATATCTTACAATGCTAGCAAAAACTTGCTGGACGTTTTCATATGTGTTACATCCATGTGCTGATGCTTTAACGTTTTAGCCATATTTTAAAATATTATAACAAAGAAATTAATAAACTACTGACGATTAGAACGTTTCACTAATCACATTTTATCCTGCCAAAAGGAAAACAATAAATTAAATCGTAAAGATCAATGTGGTACGAAATGCCACAGAACAAATGATATGGTGTAATACAAAATATCTCTTTGAAACATATATTTATTTGCTCGACGTTTCGGGGAGAACGCCCTTCTTCATGTGCATTAAAGCCAGAAATCAGAAAGAAACCATACATCTAGCCCCGGTTTCTGAGGCTTTAATGTACTTGAGGAAGGGCGTTCTGTTTATAACGTGGTACATATAAATATAAGTTTTTAAGTGGTATTAATATTATGGAGTATAATTTCTTCTATTTACATTCTCTCCTGTTGAGAACAAGAACTTAGAGGGAGTGGTTGGTTTGTTATTAAGCACAAAGCTACACAATAGGCTATCTGTACTCTGACCACCGCGGGTATCGAAACCCAATGTTAGCGCTATAAACCCTGGGGGCCTACTGCTGAGCCACCAGCGAGCAGAGAGACTGAAGCAAAAAAAATGTACCATTAATTTCTTACTTTAAGGTTTGTGGATTTTGTTATTGTTATTTTTCGAATGTTTTAGTTTGGTTGGCTGGCAAGCACAAAGTTACACAATGGGCTATCTGTGCTCTGCCCACCACGTGCATCGAAAAACTTTTTTAGCGTTGTAAGCACGCAGTCGTACCGCTGAACCATTAGGAGTCTTTTAGAATAAATACTTTAGATTTGAAAATCTTATAAATACTAGACACATAAATACTGCATTTTTTCTTTCTTTCCTGGTGAGTTTGTTTGTTTATAGTTAAGCATAAAGCTACTCAATGGGATATCTGTGCTCTGCCCACCACGAGTATAAAAACCCGGTTTCTAGCGTTACAACTCCGCAGACATACCGCTGTGCCACTAGGGGGTTCCTGGTAAGAAAAATATTCAATGCACACTTTATCAATATCCTGATGAAGTAAACCAAAACCAGAAGATTGATTTGTCCTTTAATTTTCGTTGTTCCTTTAAGTTTAACGTCAGCAAGTTTATTGTCGGAAATACGGTAGAGATCGCAGTTGACTTACTTGAATTTCAAATGACACAGGCAGATTGCTGTTTTCCTTTTCTTTAGCAACGACGTAACTAATCACTTGGTTCAGGGGAGTGTTCTGAAATAAACAAAATATAGTGAAATAAACTTTTCTTTTCTAGAGTTTCTCTGTCGGAAAGCTGCTATCAGTTGTTCTAACTGTGAGTTACAGCCATTGTTAATGAAGCATTGTTTACATCAAGGAATAATAATATGCCTTAAGCCAGCCAGCTTACATTACTGAGTCAAAAGATGTATTTATCAACTAAGTGTTTCATTTTTAACTAAGCATTGTTTACATATAGGAAAGTAATACGATTTGAGCAGGCAAACTTACATTACTGCATCAAATACATATTTTTCAACCAATTGTTAAATCTTTAGGATACACTGACACATACACACACACACACTATATATATATATATGTGTGTGTGTGTGTGTGTGTGTGTCGTACATATTACTTAAGTTTAACGAACTTATTTTACTAATTACTAG